ACCTTTAATGTTATATATTATTATATATATATGCAGGTGTGTGTTGTAGAGACAACGGCAAAACCTTCTAAATATGAAAATAAAAATAATAAATCAGAGTCCTCGCCAGGAGTCCGTTACAGCCTACCGGGGGGACGGGTCGGCGACGGGGGGTGGGGGGTCTTAGCGGTTAGCGGCGAATACGCTAGCGAATCAGCAGAAGACGACGCTTGTCGTTAAATACTTTCCCGTTACGTGACGCTGGAGAGAACCCTGACAAATATAAACGCTGACTGTCAGTAAACAGGCAAAACTGTTTAACTGTTAAACTCCAGCTTTACTGTATTTCAATCAGTAAAAACAAAGTTTTTTACATTTATTTGCTGTTAGTGGAAAAAAAGGTTATATATGGTGAAGTTTTTTTTAAAAAAATGGTGGCCTATACATATATATCTACATATGTCTATATATGTATATATATATATGTATGTATTCGGGACGCACAATATATTGGCGACCATATTACTGTGTTTCTCATATCGGTTGTTTTTCCCATATATCGGTATGTGATGACCACATTTAGCTGATGACTGTCTAACATCAGCGCCTTCGTCTCTACGTCTGATGTCGCTGCTATTCACAGATGTTTTTACTTAAATGGTCCTTTAATGTTAAATATGTTTAAATATGTTTTACTTTGTTATAATAAAGACTATGTGGTCTAATCTGGGCTTCTTCTGAATAGTTTCTCACGGTGCTCACTGATGCTCATTGATATCGGTGATATCGGTTAGCGGCATTATCAGAAATCTTCATATTGGATATTGTTATCGGCCAGAAGTTTTAATATCGTGCATCACTAAATATAAAGAAATGTTAATCTACATTTTGACTATAAAACATGGTGAAACTGCATAATGTCCACATTAAAAAATAATCTGTATTCTTTTTGTTCTTTTGCATTGTGTGACTGTACATCAGCTGAAAACATCTTCATTCTACAGATATTCTCACAGGTTCAACTGTCTTTGAACTTCACAGTCTTCCACTCTTCTTCGTTCTTCCTTTCTACCAGACTTTCATGTTTTTTTATGAATTATTTTCCACAGTTTACTAAATCTTTGTGACGGGATGAATCCCGTTTTGGTTCGTTTCCACCGTGAGGCAGCTTGAAGGTGGAGCTTCTGGTCTTTGTTGGAAAACGTTTTTGCAGACGAGTGATCTGACGGATGTTTCTGTTTCCTTTCAGGTTGGTTCAGAGGATTCTCAACCAGGAAGCCGAATGTCAAGGTGAGGATCTCATAACGCTTCATTCTCTGTTCACACCGTCTCTAACAGCAGCATGTACACAAACCTCAGGCTGGTTCTTTCTCTTACCTATCTAACCCTAAGCCTTCTACTCTGAAGTTAAACTTGAACTGAACCTCCTCAGCATGACGATACCAAACAGCTGCTCCTTGCTGGACGGGTTGTTCATCTTTACTCTTTAACAGTGTTTCGTTGGATTCAAGTCAGCTAGAGGACAACCACTGCAGCCCTGATCAGTGCTACTATGGCTCCTTCTGGACCTCCTGGTTCCTGCTCACACTGGGCTGCACTGGGTTCTAGCTGCTCACTGATCTTCTGGATCCTTTTCCATCTCTGTCCAGTCTCTCAGTCAGATGTTTCTCCTCCTCTGTTCAGGTCTTCTCCATGTGGAGCCATGATGCAGACATAGATAGAAACAGTCCAGAGGTCCAGAACTGAGAAGGTTCTGCTGCTCTCAGCTCGTTGTAGAACCATGTTTATGCAGGTGGACTGATGGGAACCACAGCTGGACTCAGTTTGGTTTCTTGTATTTTGAACACAGTCTTTCTGAAGTCTTTGTTGCTGATTGTTCATAAAACACGTGTCAGCTTAGAAACATCTCAGCTCTTGATCAGTGACTCAGTTTTGAATCATCTGACATTTCAGTGCTGCTACACGGAGACGTATTAACTTCAGTTAGAGTCTGACTCCTGGAAACAGAGCAGAGGATGATTCAGCCGTGGAACACAGGAGAGCAGATCTTCAGCACCAGCGTGATATTTAATCTTATTCATGTGATCAAAAAGTGTAACGAGAGAAAAACACCTTTTATCCACTGAATCAGTGACAGTAAACGTTTGGTTTGGTTTGGCAGATAATGTTCTGCAGGAATCACATCTTTTTAATGTCATGTGTGTATCTGCTGTACTGATAAAAAGGATGAAAAAGTGTCCAAAAGGTCCTGAATCTTAACCCAAATGACTTCATGTGTCCACAATGACAACAAACCTCTTCAACATGACCCGAACACTGTCTGCAACTTAAAAGTGTCTTAAAACTTATCTAAAAATGACCCAAAATGCCTCAAAACATGTCTCAAAATGACAGAAACGTCCCCAAAATGACCCAAAATCCATCCAGAACAATTCAAAACTTGTTGAGAACCCTGTTGGAACGTCTCCTAAATCACTCAGAACTCGTCCTGAATCATTTTAAACGTCCACAGTGTGTTGAAACTTGAACAAAGTGACTGTAAACCAGAGGACAGGAATGAAGACGAGCCTCTGATCAAGATGGAGGAGAAACACTGAGACCGTTGATCTGCTAGAACTGGTTCTGACCCAAACTGGTCTGGTGTCAGGTTCTACCAGAACTCAGACGTGTTCTTCCTCCTAAATGTCATGTGTCCATCTCCTGAAATTATTACATGTTGAAAGCTTAGAAATGGTTTAAAAAAAACAACAAAACAACCAAAATATGTCCAACAAGACTCAAAGAAAGTCCAAAACGACTCGAATGTTGTCCAAAGTGACAATAAAAGTCCAGAACTTCTCAAAATCTTCTGAAAAATTACTCTAAAATGTCTGAAATTACTTGAAATTTGTGCAGAATTATGAAATTATGACCTAACGCTTGTCCCAAACGGTTCAAAATGGTCCAGAAATGATGCTGAAACGTCTGAAATCCCTCTGATAGTTTAACTGAAGGTGTGTTCAGGATGAGTGTTTATTGGCTGGTTCAGACTGACAGAGGCAGAGTTCAGACCTTCTGCTGGTTTCCTCTCATCAGAACGTCCAGGCCTGTGTTTCCGGTTCTGTCGGCGAGCAGGTGGAACGCTGCTGCTTCTGTCTGCTGCGACTCTTTCTTGTCGGTTTTTGTGAGTCTGAAGGACGACGAGACGCTAACAGGAGCAACGGCAGCAGGCAGGAACGAGCTGAGAGCAGCTCCATGAGAGTCAGAGGAAACCAAACCCGGCAGCGGTTCTCATGTAATGACTGTAATTTAAACGTCCGTCGGGTGAAATTATAGAGCAGCTGCACGACGTCGTCCTGCTGAAGGAGCTCAGGGAGCAGGAGGAGGTTCAGGTCGGAGGAGTGAAGCTCAGAGGAGACAATGGAGCTCAGACTGTGGAGAACAATCAGAGGACAGGAGGAGAAGGAAGCTGGAGGATCATCATCAGAGGAAGCAGGAAGAACAGCAGACCCACTCTCCATTGTGTCGTTTTCACATTTTGTGGCTAATTTTTGTTGCTACGTGACTCATTTTGCTCACGTTGTGTCTCTTTTTTTCTGTTTTATGTCTCGTTTTTGTCGTTTCTTTTCCTGTTTTGTCATTTTATGTCTCCTTTTGTGTATCGTTTGGATTGTTTTGTGTAGTTTTTGTCTCGTTTTTGTCGTCTGGTATCGTGTTCTGTCGTTTTATTTCTCGCTTTGTGTCTCATCTGGATTGTTTAGTTTAGTTTTTGTTTCAGATTTTTGTGGTTTTGTGCCCTCGATTGTGTCGTTTTCACATGTTGTGGCTGGTTTCTGTTGGTTTGTGACTCATTTCGGTCACGTTGTGTCTCATATTTCTGCTTTGTGTCTCGTCTGTGCTGTCTTTTTGTCTGTCTTTTGTGGTTCTGTGTCAGTATTTGTGTTCAGTTTTTACTTTTGGGTTCTGCTGTTCAGTCGTTCTTGTTTTTGGCTCCAGACAGATTTCACCGTTTTGATTTTATTAACAGAGAACGCTGCTTTCAGAACGCGTCTGTCCTTACTAACCAGCGCCACCTGGCTTTGGACGGAGCAGCCGGCCAATCACAGCAGGCTGTGCTTTCAGGGGGCGGAGCTTAAAGAGACAGGAGCTAAAACTGAGCGTTCCTTATTTTATTGTGGAGAATAATCTGTCTTTAACACTAAAGCAGGTACACATGTGACCTCCTGAAGGTTCAGCAGGTTTGTCTGGTTTCAGCTGAACAACGACGTTAGAAAACACGACGTTGCTCCTTTTCCCTCGTGTTGATGTGATCCGAGGCGTCCAGAACTGCTCTCAGAACCCGTCCTGCTCTACTGACCCGTCTCACTGGTCTGTTCTGTCTGTTCTGTCTCTGCAGGGAGTGTTTCCTTCCAGCTACGTCCATCTGAAGAAGGCCGTCGTCACCAACAGAGGGTGAGTTCAGAAACACCTCAGAAACACACATATGTCCTCGGGTTGCACCGACAGCATCGTGTTTGTTAGTACAACTGGTTTAAAGAGTCATCGCTGAGTTACGGAGCGTTGCTGTGACAGACTAGATGTTCTGATTGGACCTCCAGTCTCCAGGATCAGTGAGCAGCTCCAGCTCTTTCCACTCACCTCCTTTCATTTCCCTCCAGTCCAGCCTCATCGACTTCATGCATTAAACACTGAACATGTTGGAGATTTGGACATTTATCCAGACTCTAAAGCTCTCCAGTGTTTTCTCTGAGCTCCAGTTCTTCAGGATTCTCGGCAGGTTCCAAACGTTTGGGGAACTCTGGACTCTTCAGAACTTTCTGTTGTGGGCGTGTTTATGTTTATTACCAGTTCTGGATCGTTTGACCAGAATTAAAATCACACAAACAAACAACGTAAACCAAACCACGTCTATAACATCTGACTTCAGATCTCTGCAACGCTTCTGGATCAGAACTCGGGTTCTGTATTTGTGTTCTGACTCTCCACGATTCGGTTCAGTAAAGAAAAGACGAAGAATGATGATTGTTGTTGAATATGAGCCTCAGAAACCCGTGAACGTGGAGAAAATGTGAATGTTTGTAGGTTTTAGGAGTTCTGCTGTTTTAGGTTTACCACCCAGTCTGAGCAGCGCCGCCATCTGAAGACCTCTGCACAAGGTTCTGGTTCCCCAGGTTTTTGTCCAGTGGCTCAGATCTGAGTATAAAAAGGCTTGAAATCCATCATTCCTGCTCAGAACCGTGAAACGTGGAGAGCTGAGTTACAGCCCTTCATACGTACATACAGTGGTTAACAGTTAAACAGCTGCTCTGATAAATACAAACACATAAAAATGAGATAAGTACACGTTATGAAAAGATGCACGAAAAGTCACATGATGCACCGAACTCCTTACTGAGCGCGCTCACAACGGGAACAAAAAGAAAAACCTGGTTAACAAAGAAACCTGACGAACACGTCGTCTCTGATTCAGGTTCAGTTTATCCGGCTAAAGAAAGCCTGACTAGTCCGGCCTGCTCCGGTTTGTTTGGGACACGTGAGCCTCACAGATCCTACTGGTGCTGTAGTGTGAGTTTGATCGTCCGGCACCAGACAGGAAGTGAGAACGACGACGTGTACGGAGGCCTGGTCGGTGATTCTAGCAGCTTTAATCCTCTTTGTGGCTGAGAAACAGCCGTCTAGTCGCGTGTTTGGGCTCGTTGTTGTGACTTTAGGACCGATGGGACTCTGTAACGGGTCAGGATGGACTCAGCTGCTGCAGTACAGGAGCGCCTACATGAGAGCGAGTCCAGGAAACGTCTCTGATCCTGAAGCCGCCGCTCAGTTGGACTGTTTCTGCAGCTGAAGCCTCTTCGGGGCTGATTTGATGAAACCTGGTGTTGAGTTGTTTTGTCTCTAAATGCGGTTCGAAGCTTCTCGTCGCCGATTCTCCTCCAAGTTCAAGAGTCCATATTTGAATGCATTAGCATAATGACTGGAGACGCTTTGTTGGGAAACTTGAGATTAATCAGAGTCGCGGAGCGTGTCCCGATTTGCATAAGAGTTTTTTAATTAAAGGCAGGGAGAGTAAATTAATTGGAATTAGTGAATCCTTTACTGTTTCAAGTCGGTCCTCGGGGCAAAGACAGAGTTTGGAGCGAGCCGAGTCGGAGGTTTCACCGGATCCTGAGGCCGGACGGCAGAAAGTGTTATGGACGACTGATCAGGCAGCTCCCGGAGCAGAATGTGCAGAAGTTCTGATCCAATATGATGAGAATTAAAGCTGAAAAACACTGTTAACCAGTTCTGTCAGTTTGGACTTTATTTACTGAACCATGTTTGTTAAGAAACTGTTTGAAATGACCAGAAAGTCAGCATACGGGAGAGAAAACGATTTAAGAAATAATT